ACTTTTACATTAAAACTCACATTTTATCCCTTGAATTGCGTGACAACGGATAGGACTTAGGTGATTTCGGTGTGGAACTCTATCCGAGAAAAGTCGATTTCGGCAGAGAACGGGTTTGCGGTCCACAGGTTTGTGGTCCGAAGAAACAGCCCCGCATGTTTGCGGTCTTAACCGCAAACATGATTATGGTCCGAGAAGAGGTATGGCTTGCGAAGGTTTTCGGTGGGGATTTCGGTCCTCGCAATTTTGGTTCATATTTTTGTAACACTTATCCAATAAAAGCTTTATTTATATTAAAATATTAGTTTAGCCTTAACAAATTAATAAATCAACAAATTTGATTTTTATTTAGCCAGTTTGACTTTTGTTGACTTTTACAGACTTGGAAATAACAGGTTGTCACAATTGAGGTGGTGCTTATATGATGGAGCTTACTAATATATATATATATATATATATATTATATATATATATATATATATATATATATATATATATATATATATACATATATATATATATATATATCCCTATTCTAATAAAAGAATAGTTGTAATATCCTTTTGACATGTATCATCATATTAAGCCTCCTAATTAATACATATATATATATATATATATATATATATATATATATATATATATATATATATATATATATATATATATATATATATATATATATTTGCCATGTATCACCCTATTAAACTTCTTAATTAATGCATATCATTTGTCAACCTATTAATTATCTATTTCAAATTTTAAAATTTTCATTTTAATTACAATAAATTAATAACAATGGAATAAAATTTATAATAAAATTAATACAGATTATAAGTTGATATAATTTCACATATTTATTTAAATTAACGATTAAAATTGATTAATAATTTTGTGTTATAACTATTAAAATTTAATTAATTTTGTAGCTGTGGTTTCACGGGTTATAAACTAGTATATATATATATATATATATATATATATATATATATATATATATAATATATATATATATATATATATATATATATATATATATATATATATAGGTTCAGGTTCATTTGAAACCATTCTAATTTTGTGAGACAGTGAGACCAAATCTAAAAATAATTTTAAAATGCAAAATAAATGGAAAAATCCAAAACTTCTTTTTTTAAATATTATTTTCGGAACTTGAATTAACTAAAAAAAATAAAAATAAAATAAAATAAAAATAAAAATAAATAAAAAAATCCCATTTTTGTTTTTTAAAATACGTGAAATATTCTAAATAGAATATAACACTGACATATTCTAAAAAATAATTTTAAAAATGCAAAATAAATGGAAAAATCTAAAAATTCTTTTTTTAAATATTATTTTCGGAACTTGAATTAACTAAAAAAAATAAAAATACGTGAAATATTCTAAATAGAATATTACACTGTACATATTCTAAAAATAATTTTAAAATGCAAAATAAATGGAAAGATCAAAAAAAAAATTTAAATATTATTTTCGGAACTTGAATTAATTAAAAAAAATTAAAAATAAATAAATAAATAAATGCGTCTCACGGTCTCACAAAATTAGGCCATCTCAAATGAACCTAACCGTATATATATATATATATATATATATATATATATATATATATATATATATATATATATATATATATATATATATATATATATATATATATATATATGGGAAATGATCAATTAAGTACACTAAAAAGGTTGAGAACGCAAGAACATTTCTGAACCGATCAATACATAAGGGTAAATAAGTAAATATGCATTTTAATTAAATGATTTTCCTAAATTTTAGGTATTCTAGTCCACTGTTACTAAAATAAGAATTATTCATTTTTAATAATTCTAATGAAAGAAAGGAAATAATGTTTTATCATTTTTAGTCTAAATTTATAAACTTTTATCTTGCATTACGTAATTCATTTTCATAAATGAATAAAATCAAACTATTAAATCTTAATGATTTAACTACGACGGGAAAATTAACAATTTACTAACATTTATCTAACTATTTTCATATTTATGAACTAAGATGCGACGATTGGATTTGTCTTTTTTTCATGAATTAAAAAATATATTGAAGAAATTCATTATTTCCAATACACCTCTAAATGATCATAAATGAATTGTTTCTATCCATAATCATAAGTGAATCCAATTCTAACCATACATGAATACATTTTATAGGAATATAATATACAAACATTTGCAGCCATTATATTCAAAAGAGTAAATTACACGAATGGTTTTGAGTAATTTGCGCGTTTAGTTCTTAACTTATTTTTTTAATTCGGAAGGTCTCTACTATTTGTTTTTGTTACACTGTTGGTCCCTACTGTTTATTTTTATTACACGTTTGGTCCCTATCTTACCTAAAAATATTATTATTTAAATAGGGGAAAATGGTGGGGTAGGTAAGGTCAGGTGACGCCGTGACGGAGTGGGGTTGGGAGTGTGTTTGATTAAATAAATGAAAAAAATCAATGGCAAAATAGTCTTTTTAGGTAAGACAGAGACCAAACGCGTAACAAAAAACAGATACTAAGGACCTTCCGAGTTAAAAAAATAAGTTAGGGACCAAACGTGTAAATTACACCAAACCATAGGGACCATTCGTGTAATTTACTCTATTCAAAATTGAATATAACTCTAATCATAAATGAACTACTACATCCTTATTTTTCCATTGAATTTTCTTGTTGCTACCATACACACAGAAACAAGAAGGGCTCCCTTGGTCATGTTGTCGATTTCCGTACTTACGACTATCCTTCTTCAAATCGTCAAGTTTTACATAAACCTGTTCAAAACATCAATCTTTCAGTTAAATTTTCTGTAGTTATAACATAGTTTCATTCATTGATGATTAAACTCAAAAGGCATCATTTATTGGTCACCGATTAAAACATAGAAGTAAATAAATATACATAATCATAAATGAATGGAATTCAAATGAAAAACATAACAATCATCGAAACTAAAAACGATTTAAAATTCAAAACCTAGACATATAAATTAAATTACAAGGATAGATCAACTTGAGTTGTAGCAAAAAGAGAGTAAATACATAATAAAATAAAATAATCAAACCAGGTTGCTCATGGTGATGTGGAGAATAGTTGTGATGTTAGGGATGTTGCAGCCGGTGAAAAATAACGTACCTGCGGTGGTATAATGTGGATGTGATGGTGGCGATTTGAAGCAAGGGTGATGATGATTGGAGGGGGCGATGACCAGTAATGTTGTTTACTTGTTTTCACGGTGGAAATATTGGCAAAGAGAAAAGGGGCGACACCGGGAAGAGGGAAGAGAAGAAGAGGGCGGCATAAAGATGAAAATAGGGTTAGGCATAAGATGATTAGTAACTGTATATACAAGAAAGAGAGAGAATATAAACGTAATCTAAGAGACAAAGAGGTATTTTAGGAATTAGGAGTTGGATAAGATAATTTATGACAATAATACCCTTTTATAATTTTCTAATTAGAATTGTCTAAATTTAATTGTATTAATAATTGTAAATATCTAATTTAATTATAACCTTGGATTGAAAATATTAAATGATTCAGATCTGTTCTCACGTTCTTAATCTTTTAGGTGCTCTCATTTGATCATATATATATATATATATATATATATATATATATATATATATATATATATATATATATATATATATATATATATATATGTTAAATGGTGATTTTTTTAAATAGTTAGCCATTATAGAATGTATTTACTAAAAGCTTTTAATTGAATGAAAAATAGTAGACAGATGATGTAACAAAAAAAAATTGAAAAATTACAAATCTAGCATTTTTTAATCATTTCTAAAAAAAATAGCCAAAATGTTAACGGAAACCTCATAGGAAGTTCATTTGGTTGTTGTTTCGTGACTTGTCGGTCTGTTGTTTGATAGTTATTTTATCCAATTAGTATGATATTTCGTGTAATAAGTTGTTGTATCGTGACCCATCATCCTATAATATATAAAGTTCAAAAAATTCTTTTGTCATTTTCGGGTATTTGAAGTACAAAATTTTCTCTGATAGAGGTCAACAAAATCAGTTTAATAGTATTGTACGTAGTTTTCTTATCGTTATATACCATTTAGCGTGAAATCTCGTAGTTGTGGGTTTGTTTGTTTTTTTTCTTCGAAATAATGAAAAAAAAAAAAGAATAACAAAATTGCAGATGATATTGCCATCTACGGTGTACAAGCCGCTAATGCACATGATGTCCATTTAAAACTTGTACACAGCAAATGACAATGGCATCTTCAGTTTTGTTATTTTTTTCCTATTTCTTTCGGTTTAGTTGCAGGTTTGAACTTTATTATGTCTCATGCCTTGATTATGTTTAGTCAAAATGTGCGTAGTCATAGTCAACATAAAAAAACAATAATCAAAACAAAAGATAAGAAGATGAAACAACGAATGGTACATGTGCATATACAATTTCGTTTTCGGAAACCTAGGAATTAAGAACAAACGAAATAGTAGTTTAGATGAAAGGAAACCGTAGAGCCTAAGCTATGTGCAAAAATGATGGATAACATATTGACTCATATTCAAATCCTGACACTACTCTGTGGTCATGAAGGTTCGTCTGCAATGACTTCAGTTGTTCGCAATGTGAAATTAGTATTTATGCGAAAGATGGGTCGAAAACCTTGTTAAGAGAAGTTCTCTTTCAAAAAAAACATGGAAAGTTAACATGGTCTCTGATTTCAATGTCTATTTTTAGCAAAATGGCTGATTTCTGCTATTTTTTAATAAAATAATTAAAAAGATAGTAGATTTATAATTTTCTCTAAAAAATATTTATAAGGTTACTTAATGGAGATCCTCTAAAATTATCATTTTGAACATAAAAAATTCACAAAAATACCTAAAAGTCAAATCCGATCAAACCCGTCCAATTTTACGATCGAATCCTCATCCAATTCAGACAATTTATTAGGCTCTTCTCCTTTGAATGGCCCTCTAGTTTTCACAACGGGTCGAATATTTCATGCGATCCGGATCCGGTTCGAAACGAAATAAAATGGAGGGAAATTGAAAAAGGCACGTGGAAAGAAGTATGACACGTGGCGGAACGCAAAGTGAGTAAGCACAGTCTCCAGCTCCACCTCAAAGCGGTGAACCAGTTTAAGACAGACGTATTTCCATTCTCTCATGCACACTACATCCAAACCACACACACTCAAACAACAAGAACAAACAGACTACACAGAAATGGCGACAAAGATGATCGGAGGCTCCGACGGAAGTGCTTTGACACCGGAGGCGGAGTGTGAACCGTTGACTTATGAGAGGAGAGTTCGAACCGACTTGGAAACTCATCTTCCTAAACCTTGTAAGTTCTTCATCACTTCATCCAGATTTGTCGTAATATTAGTAACAACTTGTTGTTACTTCATGATTCTGATTGCTTTTCCAGATTTCATTTAATCTTTACGAACACTTTTGTAATTTTGTGGTGTAATGATCAGATCTGGCTAGGGGACTTGTAGCTCCAGATGTCGAGCATCCAAACGGAACGCTAGGGCACAGGCACAACGACATGACTGTTCTCCAACAGCATGTTGCTTTCTTCGATCAAAACGACGACGGAATCGTGTACCCGTGGGAGACGTACTCCGGTGAGTTACCTTCAAATACCTTTTTTCCTCCGATGAACGAACATCACCTTTCAATTGGATGTTTAAACGAGTCGATAAGAAGATTGCTATCAGTAATCCTTCAAATTTATATGAATTACCTACTCTTAAGATATTGAATTTACAATCAATTTCAGGAATGCGTCAATTAGGGTTCAATTTCGTTATCTCCTTCATAGCAGCCATTGTTATCAACTTCGGATTGAGCTATCCCACACAACCTGTACGTTCTTCATCTTCCTCTCTTCGTAACTAATTAATTCTATATACTGATTATTGATCCACAATCCAGAGCTGGATTCCTTCCCCTTTCTTCCCCCGTATACATCCACAACATCCATAGATCCAAACACGGAAGCGACTCAGGAACTTACGATACTGAAGGAAGGTCTGTCAATCGTCATCATACTCTTATAATCTCCCATCAATTTGAACCTTCTTCTTCTTACGATGAAATCTAATTCGTGTCCATTATCAGATACTTACCAGTCCACTTCGAGAACATGTTCAGCAAGTATGCAAAAACAGTACCAGACAAGCTGACACTCGGAGAGATTTGGAACATGACTGAAGGAAATCGAGTAGCGTTCGATTTGTTCGGATGGTTAGTACTAGTTGGATTCAAAGAAACAAACAAACCCTAATTTACCTTTTCTTCATATAAAAATGAAAGTTGGAAACTTTTGTACAGGATTGCAGGGAAGTTGGAATGGGCGATATTGTATGCGCTTGCTAGGGATGAAGAAAGGCATGCTGTCGAAGGAGGCAGTAAGGCGGTGCTTTGATGGGAGTTTGTTCGAGTATTGTGCTAAAATGAACCGAGCTGCGCAGGATAAGATGTACTAAAGAGTAAAGATGGTGGTGTTTAATTATGCAAGTTAATGATGTGGATTAATGTTAATTATGTAAGTGAGTCTATAATAGTAGACTATATATAGTTTTTATGTTTGGTTGTGTGAGGAAATAAGAATGTTGAAAGAGATGATTTATGTTTTTTTTTGGCCTGTTTTAATAAGGTGGATTGTTCATACTCCTAGGATGTTTTGTAGTTTGCTTTATATATTATTTAATTTGATTGAAGCTTAAGGTTTTCAATTTGAAATGTGTTGTGATTCATATGATTGGGCCTTCTTAGATGACATTTGTTTGGGCTTTGGCAATAAGTAAATTACAAATTTGGTCCACATGTTTGGCCCAATTCACATATTTGGTTGTAGTATTGGATTTTTCCATGTCATCTATGTTGAGATGATCCTTCATTCGTAGACAACGAGGATTACAAATATATAATTTGTGATGTTATTAATATTATCGGGAAGGTTTTGTGTGCTTTGTTGGTAATATCTTTAACCAATATATATGTGTGTTAAGTTTTCATTGTTTGTGTTTTTCCTTGTTTTATGTTTCTCATGTTTCTTTGGGTTGTTGGTAAGCTTAGTGTAGTATTGGTTGCGCCTTGCTTTTATTGGATTGCGTGTTTGATGTGTTGGTAATTAATGATGTGGGACTTTGAAACATGTAGATTACTTGTTTTGACAAGTGATATTATAGTTAGGTAAAATGTTAGACAATTTTGATTCCCAATCGTAACAGGTGACAACATAGTTGGAGTGTGATAAATCTAATTTGGTAGCTTTGGTCGTGGTGGCAAGAGTGGTATGGTGTTATAAATTGTATTGATATAGTCGTGATGGTGGTTGCATGAGTGGGTGGTGGAAGAAATAGTGTTGTGATGCTGGCAAGAGTGGTATGGTTAGGGATGTCAATGGAACCAAACGGGGAGCGGAAATTGCTCCCGCCCTCACCCCCGAAATCAGTTGTTGCCCCCGTCCCGGATCCCACTATGCCCTGATTCCGCTTCCGGTTACCTCCATTGCCCCCGGTCCCGCCCCCTTTCCTCCGGTTTATAGATTTAAAATTCGATTTTTTTTTTGCTAAAAAACTACTTTGTTTTAGCCTAAAAAGACTATTTTTAATAACTTTACAAGCTTAAAACTTAATGTTTTATAAACTAAAAAAATTAAAAACCCCAACATTACCAATCCAACATTACAAATTTACAAATCCAACAACCTTACAAATATAAAATAAGACAAACTTAATATTACAAATATAAAATACTTAAATGTTAAAAAATATATGATCAATTCACTACATCTTCAATATCCATTAACTGGAAATGGGAAAGTGAAACCTAACCTAAACAAAAAATTAGAAAATCTATTTTGTATATGTATTTTATATTAAATATATATTTTTTACATAAATGTACAACCGGGACCCCCGCGAGAGTACGGGACGGAAATACCGACTCCCGACCTCAGTCCCAAAAATAAATGGGGTTTAATTCTGCCCCGACCCTGCTCCCGCTCCCGGATTTTTAAAGAATAACTTCCTCCACCTCCTCCAATTGTTCTCCCGGATTTTTAAAGAATACCATCTTCATGATTTCTTGTTCCTTCTTAGCATTAAGTTCCTTAATCTTACACAGATTTAAAGAATAACTTCCACCTATGGAGACAATTCCATATTACCATTTTGACCATCACTTCTGAACAAGAGTTACCGCTTTTCAAAATACGTCAATATGGTCCTTACTCTATACTTCTAATTGTCAATGAGCAACCAATCTTTGGTAAACCTCAGATTGTCCTCGACAATTTTGCTTAATCATTTTAGTCATTCCAGTTCTATTCCTTTTTCCATCTTAATGCCCTAGGCATTTGGAAAATTTAGAATGGATGAATATTATAGCATATTCAATCGATCCTATATCCGAAGCATATAGGACACGATTCATGCTATAAAATTATTATTTGCCATGTTCTCACAATTCGAACTATGAAGAGGTATGCCGTAATCATAATCGAATTTTGAGATCGCAACATATATAGAATTTCCTTATGTTGAACCATTCCAGCATAACATTCATATATATTCTTGACTAAAGTAGATTAAATATCAATCTAAGCTTGTAGAATTGGAGTGAAGTATAAAATCCTCTCCCTTAATTATAGCAAAACAACTTTTCAAAGCAAATTGAAACTTTTGTTTTCTATAATTAATTGCTAACTTGCAACACTTAACATAATCACCATGCTCCCACTAGCATAATGATTACCAGCATAACACTTTATGCTCCCACTAGCTTTGACATGTACTCAGAAATCAGTGGACTTCTAGAAATCAATACTTTATTGACTTTCTTACCAAAGTTCATATTTCTGATACTAGATTGCTTTGATAAGACTTTATCAAAAATATACACCTTTCCTTAGATAGCTCACATGTTTGTCTAGACCTTTTGCAATTCTCACTAGTTAGTGTGCCGGTTAACCACACACGCTCCACTAACTATATGAGAATGCAAATATCACAACCGCTATCTACTTAAAATCTTCTTAGTGGAAGCGTTTCCTTACCATCATTTTCATGAATCGAAGAGAAACCTTATGACACTTAGATTTTATGGTGTATGTGTTCTTTTCCATGTGAATTTTGTCAAAACCATAATCACAGGACTAGGTTAGTGACACTTCCAAATTCATATGGACTGAACTTGTGCAATCTTAATTTCTTGCCACCCGGCAGCACAAGGGCCTACCATTGCTTCCAGGTTGTTATGCAAACAGTCGAGAACTCTCAGAACTCCAATGCAAAGCCAACCTTAACTGGGATGAGCACAGAATATGTCAACACGATAGGTTACAAACCTCAAGTCGTGGGCTAGTGATTAACAAAACTCTTGATTAGTTCTTGAAACTATTTCAGAATCTTTTAGACTCCCACTGTCCTCTTGACATATAAGACTTATCTTTGTCAAGAACCATTCCTTGACAATACAAATATTCAAGAGCTAGTGCGGATTCTTATCAAGTTAAACACTTCCCATAATTGGACTTAGTTGGTCTTTGTTTTATCCAAAACATCACAACTAACCAACCTCAAATGTACAAGAGTATGACACATCTTACTCTACATTTGATAAGTGTTATAAACTTTCTAAAGATTATGTCACTCAATGGCTCAATCTTGGAGTATGACTCTAAGATTTGATGTATGATTTATCTTTTGATTTAACCATTTCAACAACTCATGATTCCTCTCCTTAGCCAAACAAATGAACTAAGGTGTCCTTAGAGGATCAATTGTGATCTGGTTTCATAATCACTAAGATAATCATAAAACAAAATACACAAGTACTCTCCCATCTCTTCAGATTGGAGAAACTTTTATCTTTCTGCCTTATTTGATTCTTCTTATTCATTCTGCCATACATTGAAACTTTTCCAATGTTTCAGAATTACACTTAAACTCGTAAGCATAACCATATTTACTAAACTTTAGTAAATCATAATGAATAATCTTATCAACCTTTGTGGTGGACCTGACCAGCACACAACCAAGTGTACCCAATCTCTTAGTCCTTTGCTTGACTCACATGTGAATGTGAACAAGGAATTAGTCTTAATTTACCAAAGATGAAAATTCTCATTCATCACACAATACAACTTGCATGATTCCAAGTTTCTATCCAACTGAAACTTGGGTGATGAGAATCTTTCCTTATTTGGTAAATTATGATACTACCACTAATGAAAGAATCAAATCCATTTACCCATATTGCTTATCAATGGAAACATATAAGCAACAACCTTTTTCACAAATGCCATTGTAAGGATACTTAAAATAAATAAAATCAAAACCATTTTCTTTTATTTTAAAACTTTGCGGAAAACTTATCCTTACAATCCATATGGAAAACTTGTTGTTATCCTTTCCTAAGCAATATATCTAACTCTTAAGTAACAACTCAAAATTCTGATCACCGAACCATGCAATCGAAATCCATCTTCACGATCAGATCAACATATACTTCCTTTAAGTTTCTTCACTCTTCTTTGATTCTTAAACATCAATATGTGACCCAGTCACAACATGCAATAAGAATCTCAGAATAGAAACTTAATAGAGTTAGACAATGGACTTTACCTGAAGTAGAGTCAAACATTTGACTTCACTATCCTTATGAACTTTTAGGTAAATTTGGCAGATTCGCAACCAATGCCCTTCCTTTAGAAACATATGGACTCTTTGGAAACGGTACACGGGACTATCACAAACTTAGCCTTTCTCTTTACCATTTGGTCAACCGAGTTGACTATGGCCAATCCCTTTCAGTTGGGAAGAGAAATTTTTTCTAGAATTCCAATGTTACCATTGTAAATGTCCATGGAACTTTGGGAAGTTGATCTTCCAATCAAATTTTGCTTTACCAATGCTCCCAATCATTGCTGATTCAACATCATCAAGCAAATAGGTAAGATCATTAGGGGTCATGTCGTGATCTGTCATCAGGGAGTGACCAAGTCAACAGCCAGCTACCTTGAGACTTCGACACCCGACTCTCCCGGCTTGTCAATATGTGACTTAATCTCCAAGACTTTAAGCACATATAGACTTTGTTTGCCAATAGGGATTGAGTGACTTAGAACTTATCATGTCTTGAAACTTGTGGGATAGGGAGATTTATTGGAGGAGGTGGAGGAAGTGAAGTATGATTTCCAGTCCCACTAATGCACAACAAAGGGATTGATCTTTCACCTTGATTGCCATTCGGGATATCATCTTCATTAGGAAGCTTCTTCCTAAGATTTGGGAAGACCATAGTTGTCTAAACTAGACATCTATAATGGGAGAAATTCAAGTTAGTTGATTTAAAGTCCTTAATATAACACCCAATATGAAATATTAAGGCTAGGACCCAATAACCTATTTATAACTGGAAGAGGGATGTCGTAATCCAAATTATAAAATAGTTAAAGGTAGGTAAATGACGATTTACCAATTTCCACCATGAAAAACGAAATATAATTAAGTTTTAATTGGATTTGAAACTCCTAGATCTTTTGAGATACATTGAACTTTCAATGGCATGTTTGAATCTCGATTGTGCCCTCTCAAGTTTGTGACTGGGATGCCGAGGATCACAAACAAGGTGTGAATAACCATACAAATTGACTTGGTACCCTTAACAATATTACCTAATCGATGTGTCGGTTAACCACACACGCTCCATCG